GTCACATTCATATCTCCTAGATTTAAATGAACACCAATCCAGACCACAATGATTTTCTCTCCTGAGAAACAATTCTCACAGTGAGCATTATTCTCCAAATTCTCTCTCATCTCTCTCTTTTTGACCTCAGCAAATAGGAAAATTAGATGTCTTGTGTTGATTTTAAATGTGTCCCAATTTGACATTGTTACATGGAAGCAGCTTCTTAGTTATGTCTATTGAAGCACAGGAGTTCAGATTTGAGGCTTTATGGCCAGAGGCCTTAGTCCTTGATGTGGATGTTGCAGGTTAAAATCCAAGCTAGTGATTCTTTGTTGGAAGTTTCTCTCTCATTTATCTTAAATTCTTTTTAGCTTACCAATAAATGAAGGCTTCATAAAAAGTTTCAGATTCATCTAATGTTAAGTTCTTTATTTTTTTATTATAAATATATATATATATTTTTATATGGCACTAGTAGCTCGTTTTTCTGACAGTAGGCTGACAGGAAAGGGGGTATGAGAGAGGGGGAGAGACATGCGGCAAAGGACCACAGGTCGGAGGACTAAGGACCACGCTCCGAGGACTAAGGCCTCCATGCATGGATCGTGCGCACTAACCACTGTACCATCTGCACACCCTTTGTATTATAAATAATTAAGACACTATTGAGAAAAGAGGCATATTATTATGAAAGCTCCCCTGTTTATGGGGAGTGTTGGCCTAGTGGTTAGAGCAGTGCGCTTGTGCTCTGAGAAGGTTGCAAGTACTCAGTTTGATCCCTACAGCCTGCACTCTGGGTCTCTAAGCAAGACCTTATCCCCACAGTGCTCCCCGGGCGCTGCTCAGTGGCAGCCCACTGCTCCCCAAGGGGATGGGTTAAATGCAAAGAGTTAATTTCTCCACTGTGAGATCAATAAAGTTGAATTTCTATTTCTGTTTATCCCACTTCTCAAATCTCTTTATGTTTTGATAATGTATTATCTCCTTTTTGACTCAACTCTTGCTCAATGAGACAATTAAAAGTAAATCAGAAACAAATGCTCACAGCAACACATTTTCATATGGAGGGTAAAACTACTACACAGTTACTGAGTAACTGTGGCCCCTTAACATCCGATTTATTGTTTAAAATATGTAATCAGCAACCCTTTCCAACAGTAACCTTTTTTCACATATATTCTTTTTCAACATAAAATTACATAATCTTTACATATCATTACATTCATATTTGCCAGAGAAGGAAAAAGAATTTCAATCTGCAATATCTGCTGTATTATGTGGCCTGATTAAAAAAAAAAGCTCTTTTGAGAAATGGAAGTTAATGGAATTTGTCAAATTTTTCTGGTTTTAAGTAGCTTCTTACTGGAAGTCAGCTACTTGTGCTTTGAATAAATAGCATAGAATTTAATAAAATGGAAAATGATTTACTGTCCCAAAGAAAGGAATTTCTGGGACCTCATTAAACGTTTGTTGTACCTGCAGGATATTTTACATAAGTGAGAACAACTAGTCCAGATCATACTTAAAGCCATGCTCATTATACTGATGTTTTGGGGATACCTCATTCATGGGGAGACGGGCACTGTTTAAAGTCGACTAATGGATTGAGCTAAATTTAGGAAAATCTTTGAAGAAAATCTGAAATAAGAAGTGGATGACTTGAAACTATAGCAAATGTTAACCTTTAGCAGCACAACATGACTTTATACAAATTCAAAACTTTTCTTTTTTTATATGACATGTAAACCATCTATCCTTTTCCTCTTCCTTCATCATTATGTAGCATTATGTTGTTCTATGCTATGAAACACCATTTTTGCGGTTGCTATGTTATAAAACATTAATCAGTTGAAGAGACAGAGGTACTTTTTTATTCACTGTATTTAAAGTGTGTTTTTATGCTATTAATCATATGAAAAAGTAGTATTAGTGATATATAATTTTAAGTCAATAACTTTATTCTTCTCTCTACGAGAATTATCTATAACAATAAAGGCTAAAACAAAACATTTATTTTGGTTTTGAAGCTCCACGCAGTGAGATAATATGTCCACAAGGTGGTGCTATAGAGCCACATTTCAGGATGTTACAACATGCTTGAGTTTAGCAATAAATGGTTCTGATGAAAATATTATATATTTTTTCTGAAACAAAGCATAATGTAAGAACTTGCTAAGATAAAAAAAAAAATCTTTAACTATTGAACCATATTTTCTAATTGAGGTTTCCTGTTTATTTCACCTAATCTTGGGAAAACGATGATAAAATGCACTCATTTATTACTAATTCACTCCTTTAAACCAACCAAGTTGGATATTCTGATCTGTTTATCTACTTTTAGAATGTAAATAAACTCATATGTTAAACTAAATAAATTCCTGCTATTTTTTTGTGCCATCAATATACTAACAACAGCTATTTAGCAGCACATCACGCCCATACGTAATCCTCCTTTTTCCCAATCTTACCTGGATACTTTAACATCATTTTACAATGATAAAAAAGAAGGCATTAGGAACTTCAGTAAACACAGCTACCTACATGTCTGCCTCTTTTTGGACAAACAAAAACAGTGGTTAATATCCTAATCCATTTTAAATGGTCTCCTTCTGTGACAAGACAACAAACATTACTGAGAGAGGATCAAATTGTAGTGGAGCCTTTGATGCAGGCTTCACTTTCCTGTCTGTGTTAAAACTGGAGCATCAGATAACAGTTGCCCTCAGTCAGGTTTTGTGCTGCGGCCCAGATTGTCTGATTCAGACGTCTGCATGTTGAATCTGGATGTTTCAGGTTGATCAGATAGAGGAGGCCATATCAGACAGATCTAAGTTTGGCAGTTGGTCCTGAGACATTTTAAGTCTCCCAGCACAACGACCTGCAAAAAAAAAAACAAAAAAAAAACATGCACATAGAGCTTAGGGGCTTTACAAAAAGACATGCTTTCACTACAAAAGGATTGAAGGTTTCAGTGGTTGAATATAAATTGACATATAAGAACTCTGTTTTCATTTATCTTTTTTTTTTCTTAGAAAGTGTATATGTGAACATATTTACAATACAATGAGCATTTAGAGAGTGGAGCAAGTGGCTAAACAAGACAATTGTTAAGAGGAATTAGAGCACTTTTACCAAATTAGTTTGAATCTTTTCTTTAAGTAATAAAACTTTGAACCTTTTCATATTACAAACATTGATTGTGATGGAAGAAACTGCATAATGGTTAAGTGAAAGGGTAAAGTTCCATTGTAGGTACCTATTTCAAAAATTAAATAATAAGAAGAAACAGTGGTCCATATTGTAATGCATTCATATTTCAATTAAATTATATACAATAATGAGGTCATATTGAGCATCACCGTAAAAAACGATACGCAACCAATTTTCTTTAAAAGCCTAGAAATTAGTATTGAAGTCCAAAACAAAGAAGAAAATAGGGATAAAGATGTGGACCTGTTCAAAGCATGGTTAAAGTATAAAACAACAACCCAGCTGTGAACTCACACACCACTATTCCATCCCTGATTTAAATGAATAGAGTTTGACACAACTGGTTACTTGACTTACAGCCTGGGTAGAGAAAAAAAAAGCTAACACCTTGCAGTGCGTTGTAATAAGAATCATAATCTTTATTCTTCATTTTGGATCCATTATGACATTTTTATTAATAGAGCCTCGTCTTAGAGTGCACCTATTAATACCGTGAAGATTGAAACACTGCATTTTACAGTTGCCTTTTCTATCTATGTTTTTTTCTGGATTTCCGCTTCTGTCTCCTTGAACCCGATGATTCGGCAGATGGCTGCTCACACTGAGCCTGGTTCTTCTGGACGTTTCTTCCTGTTGAAAGGGAGTTTTTCCTTTCCACTCTCGCTACAGACATGCTTGGTGTGAGGAAATGCTGCAGAGTCAATGAGTCGATGCAATTAGCTGGATTTCCTCAACTAGAAAACGTTAAACTGATCTGACTGTATGATTTAGTTGAATTGTAAAGTACCTTGAGATGACATGTGTTGAGAATTGGCACTATATAAATAAACTTAATTGTATTATGCAGAGAATTGTGCTTCATAACATGTTGGAAGGAAAACTGTCGGTCAGCTACTCCACAAATCTGGTATTAAAGGTAGAATAACATGATTGCTTAAAGGAGGCCATCCAAAGTCCTATTTAAGTTTGCCACAAGCCATGTTTGCATTGAAAATGCATGAAAGACTTAAAGGTATAGTGGAAGATGTTCTTTTTCTGGGTGGATCATCAAAATAAGTGGTCCTCCTAATTGTCAATCATTCTGGTTATATGTTTATGTAAGGCTGTCCTACGTGCTTACACATTTTCACTTATGGGTGGTGAGTCTGAAGTTGTGGAAAAATTGCACATCTTCTTTTGAAAAAGTAAGCTTGAGCGATGCAAACAGGCATTTTTAAAAAGAGCGTGCACAAGGAGAAATTTGCTTGTACATGCTCTTGTAATTAGGGATTCCCTCTTGGGAGTGGGTACAGGGTTGAGTGTGAATTTTTTTTTTTTAATTGGAGAGTCTTTTCAAAAATGCGCGAAAAATTGTCCACTAAACCTCGACTTATTCTGAACCAAACTTGGTTTCAGCATTACAATAAAGAGCAAAGATAAAGTCAGAAACAAAACCCTATCGACTGTTCACAAACTGTGACATGTTCAATGACTTCAATGAACTTTTGTCTGTGAAGGTCTGTAGCAAAGTTAAAGGTAACTGATTTCTTGTGTAGTGATTAAATAACTTTGCTGTGGCTATATAAACAGCTGAAGGTTTCTACTTTAAGTGATGCCTTATGCATCGCAATTACTTGCACACAGCCGTGCAATGGACTGTGATCTGACTTTTGTGCTCATGCGAATATGAGCCGCAGCAGTAGCTGATGAAAGCTGAATTCTCGGGCGACACTTGCCCCCTGCTGAGGCCCACCATTTGTTTGACCTGACAGACAGAGATCAGACTGAAGAGAGATGAATGGGAACCCACCAAGCACGCTCGGGTTTCTTGGTGCCGTGAAAAGATTTGTTCCGTCCATTGAGATCTGATGGAGTTTCCCATGTTCTGCACCGCAGCAGCTTTTTGTTGGACTATCTTTCTCATCTACCTGCTCACAAGAGATACACGCAAGGCTGACATTACATTCAGTGCGGTTACCTTGATGCCAGTGCAAACTGTGTGCCACAGTTAAGAAGTTTACCATCGTCATAAATCACAGGAGGAAGAGGGGTTCTGGATAATTAATCTGGAAAAGACTGGAGGCAGATAAACAGGTGAGGAGAGAGACATGGGTGGGGGAGATGAAGGAGGGAGGCAGGGGAATGAAATGAGGTGGAAAGAGGGGTGACCTTAGTTTAAAAGAGGTGGGGTAAAGGGTCAAGATTAGTGGTAAAAGAAGAGGCGAGGAAGAAGGATTAGGAGACCTGTGGACAGAAGGCTGAACTCCTCTGATCGAGGTCACAGTGTGCAGCAGTCGTGGAAAGAAGTGTTGTTTTTTCAACCTGGGATTTTGACATAGGTGCTGTTTTTTGACATGTAACTGAGGAATGTGGTTGATCCAGTGTTGACCCCCCTGAAGATGACCCTGGGCAAACCTCTCTCAGATCCTGAAATGGCACAAATGTGCTTCGTCTTCCTGCTGATTGGGAACGCCATCTCAGTTTCCACACAGTTTAATGGATACAACTGTGATGCCAGCTACCACAGCAGGTTTCCTGGTGAGAAAACAGCACAACATGCCCTCTTTATTTTTACCCCTTCTTTTATTTCTTATTCTGCTTTAATTGGACTAAAATGTAGCTATTATTCAAATTGACAAGCTGAACTAGCTACATCATTTTCAGGTGTTAATTCTTGGTAAAGCTTTCATACAAGGTTTTAAAATTTCTTTAGCTCTTTAGAGATATTTCAAGGATGGATAAAGCATAGAAGTTTGCATGTCTACTTTTAAATCACATTTCCATTACATTTTGCACAGATACAGATACAATTAAACAAAAAACAAAAAAGTGTAATTAATAATAACTAATATCTAAAGTTTTTTTTTAAATGTTTGCCTATTTTATGATGCAATTAAAACAACATGTTTGATGAACATATATAGCCACATTTCAAGTGGAAAATGCAACATGCATAACTATAGAAATAATTTTTGTTTAGATGTATAAACATATTTATGTCATATTTAAATATTCTATATGAATGATTGTTTTATTACTTTTTTAACCTTAATCTAATTTAACTCCATTCTCTGTTATGATTGTATTTGAATTCTTTTTACAATTTGCCCAAAATTTATCTCCACTGTTTGTCTTTAATATAAGAAGCAATGAATTGGAAAATCTTTTTCCTTTTTTCTTTTTTTAAAGCTTACATAAAAGACTTAATCTTCAATTTCCTTAACCAAGAAACTCATCCTTGTAGAGAAATAAAAAGAAATAAATGCAAACTTAATGTTCTTCAACATTTTAAACAGTAAACAAGATAGATTATATACAATATTTGAAGTTAGAAAACCAAATGTTGCTGTTGACCTAAAGTGATTGCCATAAACTGAACATTTTAAATTAGAGAAGCATTGTTTTAGTCTGAAACATCTGTTTCTATTTTGTCTCTGCAGCAGAGCGAGACATTAGCATTTACTGCGGGGTCCAAACCATCACCCTGAAGATCAATTTCTGTCCCGTTCTCTACTCGGGGTACACAGCTGCAGACCTGGCCCTCAACGGCCAGCACAGCGACGCTCAGTGTCGCGGTTTCATCAACAACAACACCTTCCCCACTGCCGTCCTTTTTTCAATCAGCCTCAGCACTCTGGAGGCCTGTGGCAACAGCCTCGTTGTAAGGAAAAAAAAAAACAACAATATCACTTTGGTTAAACTAACAGACAATCTCATTAGTTGTTTTTTTCACTTAACAGTGCGTTAGATAATTCTCCTTTTATGCAGGTCAGCACAGCTTATGGGGTCAACGCCTACGGGAACATGTCTCTGGTACAAATTGGGAATATCTCAGGATACATCGACACTCCTGACCCTCCGACTATAATCAGCTACCTGCCTGGTTTGCTGTACAAATTCAGCTGCAGCTACCCATTAGAGTACCTGGTCAATAACTCCCAGCTGGCATCGTGAGTTACTTTCACTTAATGCTCATATGAGAGCCTGGCATTTATTAGAATACATTACTGATGCTTTCATGAGTATAAATGTTTGCATTTTGAGTTTTGTACCACTTCTTTTACTAGAAGTGTACATTTTTAATGGCTAATATAATCATTCAGGTAAATGTTTTAACTTGTATCTGAACTTGTATCAGGTCACATTATGAAACACTGCCAATAATGAATTTCTTTTCACAGCTCCTCTGCTGCTGTTTCAGTCAAGGACAGTAATGGCACTTTCGTTAGCACCCTGAGTATGATCCTGTACAACGTGAGTACGCAGCCCAGTTAAAACAGCTTTACCTCTAAGAGAGCAGAATGCTGGCAAAGTTTATTTGAAATATTTATATCAAGAGAAGTAGAGAGAGAAGTAGATATTAGGGGTTTAATCTATAAGAGGTGTATAAATACCTACTTATTTTCAACAAATCTGATAAAAGAAACCAAAGAAAGACTGAAAAGAAATGTATGTTTTTTGTAAACTTCATTTCCAAGCCTGCCTACATCATGTTCCCATTGTGAATTCTCTCTAAAAGACAGATCTATTCATTAACCAGAGACAATGGTGAAAGATTGCATTTCTGAAAGCTACCCTCTCTCTGGAAACAACAAATTATGATGGTATAAAATGTTGCTGTATAAAGGTATCAGTCAGGAAAAAATAACAAAATGCTCTGCAGTATTTTATAGGGTTAGAAAGGACTTGTATTAAACTGCTAACACTACCATCCACCAAAGAATTCCCAGGTTCTTCAGAAGAACAGTCATCACATGATGCTCCCTCCTTCGCTGTTGTTTGAATGCATTAAATAGTCTATATCATGCAACTTTTTTGAGCTTTTAACTCTTATATAATGCTTTTCCTCCATCAAATTCATGCACAAAGTGATATTTCATTTGATTAATTCAGTTAATTTTGATTAATGCTGTCTGAACAGCAGCCCCTTTCGAACTGTAAAAAATAAGCAGTTGGAGAATATCTACATAATAATGTCAACTCCAGGAAGCACCTACCTTAACCCTGCTGCGCCTGCACTGTAAACAAACACTCATTTTCTCAGATCAGGAAGAGGTGATGTAAAGTACAGAGTGGTGATTTGCCTAAAAGTTTAGACCGCCCTTCTAGCAGCTAATCTGCACAGAGCAACAACCTATCTTCTAAATATTTATCTGTTACAAAGGCGGCTTAGCTTTGAAGGTAAGTATTTTTCCCATGGATTTGGAGAAAACAACTGTATTTTATACCAAATATATACGCTTCTAAAGCCTCTTTCCTACTTCAATTAGTGGGTTAACCTGGGTTTTTGAAACACAAGTTGACTCGCTAACCGTCTGTATTTGGATCCCTTCCCATTAGCAAAGAAACACTGGGTCTGATGCCCCTGTTGGTAAGCTGTGGTGCCTCTGTCCCCCCACTGCTGCGTGTCTGGTGACACCAGCATGCTGGATTAGCTTCCACGATGTCAGCAGTGTGACAGATATCAGGAAAATAAATAATGAAGAGCAACATGGGAGGTCATAGCCATTCCAAAAAAGCAATCAATTGAAAGCTTCTAATCCAGGAAGCTTTTTCAATTCAATTCAATTTTTCAATTCAATTAAAAAAGCTTCCTGGATGGGAAGCGAAATGTCCTCAAACTTGGAAACAAAGGTGTCAAGATTTGGATAATGTTTGTTGACCCAAAAGCAGAGGCAGGGAGGCAGAGGTGAATTTCTTGTGGATTTAATGATGAGAGGAGGCAGGTAATCCAAAAATCCAAATATGAAAACAAAGTCCAAAAACAAACAGGAAACCAGGAATCAAAAAATCCAAAAAGAAAACAAAGCCCAAACTAACATGAAACCAGGAGTCCAAAAATCAAAAAATCAAAACAAGAAAACGAGTAAAGACGAACCAGAAACCATTGAGACATCAGGGGTATCACAATCACAAGGAGGAAGGCTAAGAGAGACGGAGTTGGAGGAAGTTTGACGAGGATCCAGCAAAGAAGAACTGAACAGAGAGGGTATTTAAGGGAGACTGAGACAGAGAGAAGAGTAACGAGCAGATTTGGAACAGGTGTGCACAGAGCAGAACAGAAAAGTAGCTGGGGAAAAATGAGAACACAAGAGGGCAGGAGAGGGCAAAACAGAACATCCAAAAGAAAAACTTAACAGAACCAGAACTCTAACAAAAGGAGAACCAGGGCGTAGTGAGTGTTCATTATTGTTTCGGTCTTTTGTCCTTCCGAATCCCTCTTAGCAGTGCTGCGCGATGTTTAACAAATGTAAGCAGAGCTGTTTTAGCTTGTTAGAACAGACGGCACTGCCACGATGTTGTGACGTATGCTTGGTGGGTCTGATGTTCCCACGATGTTATGATTGGAGCCAAGCCGTTTGAAAGCGACTTTAACCTGCATTGCTGGCCGAGTCATTTCATGTGAGTTGAAACGGGTCAGTGAGCCATTCCCACCGCCACTAAAAGCCGATTGTTTAAACATTTTTTAGGCCAGTGGGAAAGGGGTATATTTCTAAAGGCATTGTTTTATCATTTTCCTACAGGTGACTTACAGGCTTACAAAAAGCATGATATCGGTTCTTTAAGTCCTTTTGTTAATTTTGAGAGCTGTTTATGAACCAAAAGTACCATTTGACAGTTTGGCCCAAATTTCAGCTTGATTTCATTTGATCATGACACCTACCCCACCTATTTTAGCCAGACATGTCCTTATCCCTGACTTGGAAAAAAATAAATACTTGTTACATGTAGGACACTAGCCGCATTTACCAAAAACTGCAGCAATTTCAATGTTGCTGTCAGCCTGGTGCCCCTCCTACAACTTTCTCCTTTATGTTTTTCATCAGTTTTGGGAAAATGTTTTCTCTGTTCATTGGTTTAGTTTTTACTTTGGAGGCTTGAGCTGTGATATATTGTAATCTCCCTGCAAGCAAGGCTTTGGCTAAAAACATACAAATGAACACGTGTCACAAAAATCCTATGAAAGCCAAACTTATTTCAGGTACAAGTTAAAAAGAATTGATGTTTACATGATGCAATTAAATCCAAAGGGGCTACAAGAAATGATCAATGTGTCATTACAGCATTTCTTTTGTATGGGATGATTAATCAAAGTCTTAAATCCTGGATTTTTTTTTTATGATTAAGCACCTTTTTGAGAGGCACTAGACATACTGAATACAAGTTTCCAATGTTTGGCACAGAATAACGTTATTTTTATGTGTCCATTTGTTTGGTATCACTTTGTGCAGGACTCTACATACAGTCAGCCTCTCTCCATTCCAATGACTGGTCTCTCTCTGAAAACCAGGGTCTTTGCTGCTGTAAAGGCCACAAACTTAGACAAACGGTATGGAGCAACACTTTATTCTTTGCTATGCTTATCCTTAAACAAATATATGATTGTGCTTTATGTAATCTGTTATGTTATTTACACTGAGACTTAACTACACACATGATGATATTTCTGATTTCCACTAGCATCTTTCCCAGCATCTTTCTTTTTTTCAGATATAGACTTATTCTTTTGTGCTTATTCTACTTTCATTATGCCATTATGTTATTATTGGATGTGAAGGCGCCAGTCTGCAGCAAAGAAACCCCAACCAGTGCTTTCCCATCTCTATCCCATCTCACAGTTTTGTCCTTCTTGCAGATGGAATATCTTGATGGACTACTGTTACACCACCCCCTCAGGGAATCCTAATGATGAACTCCGCTATGACCTTTTCTTTGGGTAATCTTGCTTTTTTTTTTCATTCAAGATGATGACTTGATAAACCACAAAAGAGAGTCATTACCTTTTCAGGCTCTCTGCTAGGCTTATCCTCATGAATGCTTCCATCCTGTGACAGCTTAAGCATACACCCAGACAACCAGTCTGTCATTTTTAGTGCATGCATGTTTAAATATGTATGCATGTCTGTGTTGCATGTATGCAGATGCTATAAAGATCCTCAGACGACTGTTTTTGAGAACGGGAAGAGTCAGATGGGGCGTTTCTCCTTTGAGGTCTTTCGATTTGTGAAACACAGACACCAGAAAATGTCCACCGTGTTCTTGCACTGCGTCACCAAGCTTTGCAGGGCAGATGACTGCATCATGCTTATTCCGGTATGAGGGAAAATCTGTGAATGTGTATAAATGTCTTCTGATTTCAGCGAGGAATGACATTGGAAACTGTGATTGACAGATTTGTGGGAAACGGCGTAGGAGGGATGGAGAGCAGAGCCTTGATTCCCGGCCAGCGGCGTCTGGGAACGCCGTTATCACTGCTGGTCCAATTATCACAAGGAGTGGTATGAACAATAAAATGATCTTAGAGGAACAGGCTGACATTTTTACAGATAGGCTGATCTGAAATTGTGGAAGAGTCATGATAGCAGAAAAGGGTTGCCTACAAAAAATGTGTAGGACTTATCAAAAAAAAAAAAGCCAGTAAAATATCTTAGAATTGATCATCTTTCTTTTATTTACAGAGGAAACACCTGTCAACAACTCCCAGCTTGGTAAGAATATTTCCTCAATTATAAAATTAACAATTGTGTTAAACAGAAAAATATGAAAATAAAGAAATGTTTCAACACCTAACAAAGAGTTTCAAAGCATCATTTTAGAAAATATCTGTTTCATTTTTCCCTCTATCTTCCACCCAACAGCACCTGGCGTTTCTTCCCAGCCATTAAATGGTTTGACCATTGCTTTGATCTCGGGTGTGGCCATATTGGGTGGGATCAGTGTCGGCTTCTTTGTCCTGTCGCTCCGCCTCTTCCAAAAGTCCCGCCTCCCAAGAGCTGCAGCCTCAGGTGTTTGGAATCCCAGCTTTAAGTGAATTTGGCTCCTTGTTTTCATTTATTTTTTTAGCCTCTTCAGGGCATCTGATTGCCCACAATGATACACTCATAACTATGGTTTTATATACATATAACATGTTTTAGGTATTTATTGACTTCAATACCTCATTTTTTGGGCTTGCCAGTAGTTGAAAACAATCCTATTTCAGTTAGAAAATTAGAAATGAATAAATAAACCAATTTAGATATGTTTTACAACCGTAATTTGTTATTATTTCAACCTTTTGGTTATTGGTGAGCAAAGTGTTACATGAAAAAAACAACAACAACAACAACAAAAAACGATTGTTTAAATACCAATAGATAAATAATATGCTGTATACCGTTTAAGCCAGGAAGTTTTCATGAAAAATATTCATACTGATTAATTTTATATAGATTTTATGTCATTATAGCCCCAATTTCCAGTGCATTTTGTTTGGAATAATGAGCTAGACCAGCACATTCTAGCACATAAGTAACTATTGAAGGAAAATTATATATTTATCTATTGTAAAGACAAATCTTAAAAGTGGTACATTTGTATTTTGCTCCCCTAAGTCAGTATGTCATATAACCATATTTTGCTACAATCACAGTTTAAAAACTTATGGGAAACCTTTTTTTGAAATGGAGTTTAGATTTAGATAAAACCATTTCTTTATATTTTCAGGATGATTGTCCTGCAGGAAGGACTCCCATCCATTCTGACTAGCTTCCGGTTTGGTCTGAATCCTAAATAAAACTCTTTAAATTTGCAGATAAATGCTCTAAATATGCAGATGATGAAATGATCACGGCTTGGTGAAATGTTCCAACCTTTGGTTGATGTTTTATGCTTATTCTGGTATGATAACACTTGTTCTAATTTTTACCACACCTATAAGGCCTTTCATGGATATGAATACAATGAAATGAGATAATAGATTGATAAGAAAAATAAGTGGAAGACTGGCATATATTCAAGTTCATGGTTGCAACAGGGCAAAGCATAAAACGGTGAACCCAACACACTTGCAACACACTTTCAGTCAGTTCATAGCTTTATCTTTTATCATCAAGGTTAAAAGTATGTGTAATGCAAAGAATGTTTGCTTTTATTTGTCTGATTTTAAAAATAAAATTTTTATTCAACTTTTTGTACACCCTGGGACACTTCATAAATGGAACAAGTGCTGATTTACATTGTGTGTTTAGAAGCGGCCTTTAGAGCAAGATTCAAATGTTTCAGAGCTTGATATAATGTTGGGGTTCATTTTTTTAAGTGTGTTATTTATTTCAAGATACAGTAAAGGTACAAGTGTGCGTGTTGATGATTTTCTGATAATCGTCTGAGATGAGGGATATAATGGTTTCATCTGAGACGATCATCAGAATGTTTGATGTCGGCTTAGCTCATCTAGAGCTCAGACTTCATGGTATCATGCAAGATCTATAATGACTGTAAGAGTAAAAAAACTGATTTAGATCAAACAAGTTACACACACGGATGTAACAAAGGGCAGTAGACAATTAAAAAGATCCTTGAAAGGACATATTAAACTTTGTTCAACTGACCAAAATAGTTCTGTGTCCAGCTTTCAAAGAAATGATTGATTTAATGAAATAACCGCAAGTTATACATAGTATTCTCAAACATTCTTCTTATTTATGTTAGGAGTCACATCCTGTCTTGTATCTGGATTATGACAAGAAATATACTGGATTTTCTTCAAGGACTATTTAAGAATACTTCAACCAACTGATAGTGATGGGTTAAGTGTTATGTTACACACTGATATCTGCTATTAGATATCATTTTTACAATATTTCCTTTTTACGTGTTCAGGCGTTTGGGTCTTATACGTTTTGCTAAATGCCAATACCTGAAGTCCAGAAATATTTTAGTTAAACATTTCACAAAAGAGAAGCTGATCAGCGATTTCTTTAGGTTTGGAGCAGAACTTGGGCCACATAAAACAATGTCTAGAAGAACAGTTGGGATCTCCAGCTTAAATATTAACTTTCATAGAGTGAAAATAGTGGGCATTTATAAGGTGGAGTTTAAGTTAAAAGGGACTATCCCTGATCTTGCATTGGATAAACTATTATCTTCCCCTAACAGTTTGTTCTCCATAAGATAAAATGTTACTAAATCGGAGAGTAAAACACACCTATTAACTACTAATAAAAATAAAAATATTACCTAACAGATCAGTTTTGAGTCCAAAATTATTCCTTCAAAGCTATTCAAGTAAACGTGCCAAAATTTTCACGAGATTTGATATATTTATTTGATCACAGATCTTCTTTTTCTGTTTCTCCCTTTAGCCACGTTGTTCTGTTTACATACCTTGTTGTACACATGCTGCAGGATGCTCAATCCTACAATCCATTAGTCAGTTTATAAGATCAAATTAAATACTTTAACTCATAACAAATTATATCACAAGCATTTTTCTTAAATTTATCTTTGGGGCACAATCTCAACAATTTTTTCCCAAATGAAACACTCCGCATCACTGAAGAAACACTGTCCAGAGTGAAACATGGTGGTGGCATCATGCTCTGTTCTGTTTTTATTTCTATTTTAAAAGGACCAACATAATCAATATTAGAGAAGATTACAATATATATATATATATATTCTTCCAGGGAAACAGTGACAGGATTAGCAAAATGTAACTATGTGAAAATAGGTGCTATTAAAGCAAACTTTAACCAAAAAAAAAAAAAAAAGTTTGGTTAAAGTTTGCTTTAATAGCACCTATTTTCACATAGTTACATTTGCTAATCCTGTCACTGTTTCCCTGGAGGAAAAATTATGAGGAAGGTAATTATTTTTACATTCTAACCACACTACAATCTTGCTATTAGTAACAGTAAAAAAAAAAAAAAAAAAAAAAAAAAAAAAAAACATAGCTAGCTAGCTTGGCAAATTAAACAATGTTGTTTTTCAGCAAGTTGATTATGTGTGAGCAGCCCTTAGTGCTCCCAATAAGGAGAGTAAGAGTTTAATTCTGAACCTGTTACACATTTTGATGAAAGCTCTTCATCCTTTCCTTTCCTATGGATGAAACAAAAGGTTAAAGAAACAAAAGAGCTCAAAATATATTTTTAGAACATGCTTTTGTCTTAATCTAATCATTGATCATCTCATTTTGTCAAACCAAAGTTGGTTTGAAATCTCTGATTAGGAAATTTAGAAATTACACACCAACATTTAAGAAATGAGACAACTCAAAGAAAATTAGTGCCAGTGTTTTTTTTATTTCAATTAGGCATAGAGATTAAAAAGTTAAACACATTAAACACTGCCAAAAAACTTTTTTTTCCTTCCTGTTGTTTTGCTGCATAGTCTTTTGCAATACCCCAAAGATCCTCTGTCGCAAAAAGATCAAAGTTTTTGTGAACAAACATCAAACGGCTCCATCTTTTATGAGTCATACTGACCTCAGAACTGTTTCAGGAGGACAGAAGGATCAGAAAGACTCTCCGGTAAGCAGCTGCTATAGGAGTGCTGTAGTGCATTTTCAGCAGTGACAGGCTTTTGTTTACATCCGTAGGTGATGCAATGTAGAATATTCCAACAGAACTCTAAGCTGTATCCTGCAGCATTTGGCTTTATCAGTTCTGGTCCTGCAGGGTTAGTGTCATACATTTTAGACATTTTCTTGCTTGAAAATACATTCTAAAAATAAAAAGTTGTTAGCAGACTCCTAATGTGCCTGCAGACTGATATTACATTTAAACTATTTAAATAAGATGTGTTGGAGAAGGGAATAGAGGGATACTAACCTTCAAGGACCAGTTGAACAGTTAAAAGCACAGGACTGACTGGATAATAGACACTACAGAAATCCACTGACTAGTTGGATGGAGAAGCATAACAACTCACCAGAGGTTTCTTTACAAGCTAAAACCCCCGCTTCAGTCTATTATTTTAATTTCCACCGGTTATAATTTCCATGAATTAAAGAGGAGCTTACAGATTGAAAGATGAAAAAATGTGAAAAAGATCATGCAAGATCATATGAGATCATGCATTTGTTTTTCTTTTAAAGGCTTAACCAAATTACAACACAGACATGCATACATATTTAAACATGCATGCACTCAAAATGACAGACTGGATGTCTGGTGTATGCTGAAGCTGTCACAGGATGGAAGCATTCATGAGGATAAACAGATGTAGCATAATTTATATCTCATTGTGTTGCCATCTTAAAATATATATATATTTCTGAAGACTATATATCGAGAGGAGTTGGCTAAGGTGGCTCAAGCATCTATAGTGGATGCTCCCTGGACACATGGGCGTGTTCCTGGCACTGTGCAAAAGGGAGGGGCCCAGGGGACAATCAAGGACACGCTAGAGAGAATATGTCTCTCTTCTGGCCTGGGAGCCCCTCAGGCTTCCTCCATTGGAGCTGGAAAACATGACTGGGGAGAGGGAAGTCTGGGAGTCTCTGCTGAGGATGTTACCTCCAAGAATCACTCGTTTATAAGCGTAAGATGACAAGCATGATATTCTATTAACTTCTATTAATAAAAATTCTGTCTCTGGTGAATTATTTCCATAAATGAAGCATTTGCAACCATATGCAAACGTTTTCAGAAAGATTTGAAGATATTTACTTCATGTATTTGATTAAATTCTCTTAACTAAACACAGCCAGCAAAGAGCATTTTAAATGTCATGATTCTTGGAGAATCGAGCTGCTGCAGAATGAACAAAAAAAATCATTTGCTACCAAAACCTATTTAAAAACTGAATCAATCTTATATTTTCCTTTCTTTTGCCGTATCGATTTCTGTCTCCTATGACCTATCTAAATATCTGTAGGCGGCTGCTGCATCTCACGTGTCATTTTGCAAGGCTGGTTTTTGTGTGCCGCTCAACTCTGCTAAATTCTGCACTCCTCATTACTCTAATCCCTCCTTTCAGCAGCCATTCTGCCATGTATTCAGCATCTACAATGTCCACAGATAACTAAAATGGGACGAATGAATTCTATCATCCCCCCTCTCAGCTTTCTATCAGCGATAATTGATTAAACCTTCCTCGTGGAAATAGGAACTAGGCTGAGCTTCAGCTTTGACTGTTGAACCCAAAGCTCAGGTGAACCTTGAAGAGAGAGAATGTATTCTTTTAAAAAGAATGAAGAATGCAAATCACTATGACAAAAATAACAAAAAGACATCCAGATATTTTTCATCATTCAATGTGATTCTATATTTTTAACAGCAGATGGACAGAAACTCCCATTTTCAATCTCTTCAGATGTTTTCCTTCCCAGGTGGCTCATCTGTCAGGATCAGGTGTCTGATATGATCACACTGCTCCCTCTCTCTATCTCAACTTATTAATAATGTTTTATTTGATGCCTTAAAGATAAAAAAATGCTAACTATGAGACAGTTGTAGCTTAAATCTTTTTTCAACTATTACTTCAAAACTAAGAAGATCACAGGGCAGAACTTTGATGCTGTCAGGCTTTTATTTTGACGATATTTAACTTGTTACAAAACCGTGAACATCAAAAGCCTCCTCACAAAAGATCCTTTATTCTAGTCTTTTTTTATATTTTTTTTATTAAGACTTATTCAGGTCGCAGCGAGCCAAGAAAAATCAGGATTGTCTTCATTCCTGTGACTGTGCTCCTCCATGGTAACAGAAACTGCCATGATTTTCACTCCTCTAAGCTTCATTTTAGTAGGAAACAATAAACTCAACATCAGATAATTATCTGAAGGATGAGAGTTGAACTCAGATATTTAGCTAAATTGAAAAAAAAAAACATTGTCTGTTATTAAATCAAAGCAGACCTTTCCTATCTTGGGTCAGTTATAATTTCCCAGCTGATTTCTTTTTGAGAAAGCACAAATAGTGGAAGATAGATTTTAGACTTTCACAAGTAGTTAGATTTTTAAGTATATTTTCTTTTTTTTTTAGGATGGCCATTAAACAGCATGATGTCGATTAAAAGTCATGATATTCTTCCTCAAGCCCCTCAAAATGTTTTGTTGGGATCTTAGCTTATACCTGCTCCTACACTGATCTGTCATAGTGCACCACTGTGTTCAAATACACCTTTTCCAACATTTATTGATTTTTAACAGTGCTTATAAAGAACATAAGTGTGCTCTCATGTTAAAGGAAAAGTTCAGAGTATTTGACTATTGTCGAGTATTCAACTTGTCCCTTGTTGTTGTTTGCTAGATCGTTATAGGCTATTTTAGAGCAACACTTATAGAGCATATGAGAAAAGAAAGACAAAACAAACAAACAAAAAAAAGACAAAAACAAAACAAAACAACATTCTCACAATCTCAAATCTCCCTAGAAAAAACCCCCCAAAAAGTTCCAACAATAATGGTTATCTGTTTTCCAAAAAATTTGCCCAGATTGTTTTGGTATTCTACTTCACTTAGAAAATACAAACTCAAATGTATAGTTCAAAGTGAAATAGTCAGGTATACATATAACGAAAGTTATTTTAGGACACTGCAGGAGACCAACTGCAACTAGTTCACCCCAGACACCCCTCATATCCATGTTTTCTATATAGTCTATAAAAGGACCCCAAATATTTTGAAATAGCAATAATTTCCCTTTTATATGAAAGTAATATTTTCCATTGGCAAGGTTGTAGATATTTCCTTAATCAAATTAATGAATTTTGGTTTACTGGTACTCTTCCATGAAAGTGCTATGACTCTTTTTTGCAAGTAATAGACATAAATCTATGGCAATAATAATT